CTCAGAGAAGCAGGACACTACTTCCCTTCTTTTCCTTGTTGCCTGTCCCCAGTGTGGCCTGGTGAGGTGACTCATGCGTTCCCATAGGAAGCCATTTCCCAGCTCATGACTGCAGGACCCCGAAGATTGTCTTTATGTTGACAAGGACTCGGGAAAATCAGCCACATTTGCCGTGGACTCCAGGAAGAAGTGGAGTTTAACAGTTCAGAGATCTGGTCACTGAGAGATCCGGGAGAGGTCCGTGAAAATGGCAATGAACTGAGTTCCAGGGCTGTTGCACAAAGAAACCCTATCTTGCAATCCCCCAAAGGCAAAGAACTCCCCAGGAGCCCCAAGTTTGGAGCAAGACTGCATCCAGCAGGGCATTCCTTGCTTGTAGGCTTCTGTGAAGTCTCCTGGGGTCCCTGAAGCATTCCTGGATGCTGATGGTAGCCCAGGCATGTCTGTTAAAGTCTTTGTAGAAAATTCTCCTGGATCTATATGTGTCCACAGGTATGTGCACAATCATACAGATGTGTGTGGAAGTCAGAGGACAACCTCAGGTCCTGTGTCCTAGGAAGGTTTCCACCAACACCTTCACCAGCTGAGCTCCAGGGTTCACCGTCTCCTCCTCCAGTCCCATGTAGCCAGCTTTGCTCTGCCCAGATTTTTATGTGGTATCTGAGGCCTCTGGATCTCAAGGCAGGTGCCTTATAGGCTGAGCCTCTCCCCAGATCCCATCTCTGGTGGACCTTTAAGACTCAGAGGTCAGGGGCTGGAGAAATGGCTCAGCGGCTAAGAGCACTGGCTGCTCTTCTAGAGGACCCAGGTTCAATCCCCAGCACCCACATGGCAGCTCACAACTGTCTGGGGGATATGACACCTTCATACTAGTGCATATAAAACAAAGCTAAAATAATAATAATAATAATAATAATAATAATAATAATAAAAAGACTCAGAGGTCAGATCCTACATGTCCCTCTCCAGTCAGAGAACACTGGCTGGGGACACCCAGGAAGTTGATAGGAGACTCATAAATCTACCGCAGTGCTATCACATAGCTGATTTTGTGGCCCACGTGGCACAAGTTTGAGAGGTTGAAAGAATGGGCCAGGCCCTGTCCTGTGACACTTTCCCAGACATTTCTGGAATGACTTAGGTGTAGACTGAGAAGCAAGGACAGATGTCTGAGATTTGGGTATTGCTCAAGCTGTCTTGCAGTGACACCTCCCCCAGTGACTTGGGACAGTCCTGGCCCCCACTGACTCTTCGCCTAAGCTGCTTCATCTGCCTTCCTGGCTCATCACCCGATGGCAGCACAGAGGGCAGGAATTGTGTGTCAGAGGCAGCCAGCGTGCAAGGCAGCAACTTTCTAAACAGGAAGAGTTGAAAGGGGAAGGCTTCGTTCGTGGAAAAAGATGTTTGGGGGGGGGAGGTGTCAGAGAAACCAGCTGGTGCGGCTTGGGGGTTGTGGGGGGGGGAGAGCGAGAGCCGGGCAAGCCTGACAACTTGAGTTCGGGTCCCTGGAAGCCATGTAAAATGTCGTATGCAGTGGGAACTGGAAAGATGGGAAGGAGAAACAGAGCTGGCTGCCAGCACCATGGCAGAAGGGTTGGAGCAATGCAGCACAACAGAAACAAGAATCAAGTAAATAAATAAATAATGAGTAGATGTAATTAATTGTTGTAAAGAAGGGCTTCCCCTGTGTCTAGCCGACTGGCCTAGAACTCGCCATGTAGAGCAGGCTCAGAGGTTCATCCACCTCTGCCTTCTGGCTAATTAAAAAAAAAAAATCAAGCCCAATTCAAATGCTGTAATTTAAAAGGCAACCCCAGAAAGGAATAAGAGCTAGCTGTTGTGTGTGGCTGAATCCAGGGGCTCAAAGGTGCCCTGGGGTGGGGGTGGGGTGCTTGGGGGGCAGAGAGCTGACTCAGCAGTTAAGAATGAGTACTTTCCTACAGCAGGCCAAGTTCAGCTTCCAGCACTCATGTCAGATGCTCATAACTGCCTGGAACCCCAGGTCTAGGGAATCTAAACCTCCAGGGGCACTGGTGTTCACACCCACACAGCCATGCACACATACCCGTACTTTACAGATGAGAGAGAGACACAGAGAGAGCGCGCCTCAATCCATCATTATAGGGACGGGGATGATGGTGCATGCCTCCAAACTCTGTCCCCGAGAGAGAGGGGGAGGATGAAACTCCATGGGAGGACAAGCCTGGGTCATAGACTATCTTTCCTTTTGAGACAGTGCCTCATGTGTCCCAGGTTGGCCTTGAACATGTGTGTGTTTGTTTTCATTCCAAGTTTCTATATCTCAGCTTTCTGTCCATGAGTCACTGTTGCCATTTCGAGTATCTGTAGATTCATTTGTCCCCGCTACCACCTAATTGTCAATTGGGGAAGGTAGCTTGCATTCTACCACTGATCTGTACCAAGGAGTGTCCTGTGGGGCGACTATACAACGATGCCTTAAGCTCTCTTTTGTGTGTCTTTGGCAATGTCTGTACTCTGTACAATGTCTGTTGGTTGTGTACCTGGGCCTGCACTTTGATTGGCTTGGTCCCGGGGCACAGGCAGGCTCTGCTCCCAGTAGAGCCCAACAGCTTGCCTCAACGGCTCTACCACTGTGAATTCTTGGTGTAGTTCTGGATCTGCTTCTCTTTCTGTCACAACCTACTGGAAAGGGAAGGTTCTAGACTTCTCCCAGGGAAGAGAGAAGGGTTCCCCCTTTCTCCTGTCTGTCTCGATGCTGGGCCGTGCACACCACATGGTCCTCCCCATGGTTGGCTGAGGTTGTTTATGACTTCGTTCTCTGCCGCCAGCTGGGTAAATGCAGCTGAACCCTTCCTTTCCACAGGGCTGAGGAGCAAGAGAAGAAAGTGTTTGCTCTCCTCAGACCCCGACCTTTGGGTAGGCTCCTCAGAAAGGCAGGCCTCTGTGTTCCCCTGACCAGAAGCACACTGGCTTCCCAAGCAGTCTAGCATTGTAGATGGAACCCCCAGATTCCTGACTGCACCCCCTCCCCCGTTTTCAATAAAAAACGGAAGACTTTGGCCTCAGAAAGAGGAACCCAAGTAGGACGTGGTTACACTCAGAGGAAGTGGCAACCAGCAGCAGGGGGGTGGGGTAGGGGGTTGGGGGTTGGGGGGCACAGGAGGCAGCCTGATGCTGGGGCAGCTGCTAGCTGCTGTCCAGAGTTAGGCCCAGCCCAGTTAGTACCGCCATCTAAAGGATAGCTCTCAGAAACCAAACATCATTTAAATCCAGAAGAATGCGGCCTTGTGGTGGGCACGGAAATGTTCTTTTGTTTTGGTATTGGGCTCCAGTTCATGGCCTCAGTCGTGGCAAGCATGGTGCTCTTTCTTTCTCTCCACCACACACCCCCTACTCAGGAGTCTTTTTTTTTTTTTTTTTTTTTTTTTTTAAAGACAGGGTCTCATGTAGTTCAGGCTGGCCTTGAACTTGCAATGTAGTAATTGAACTCCTGATCTTTCTGCCTTTGTCTGCCAAGTGCTCAGTTTGTCCACCTGGTGCTGGGAATTGAGCGTAGGGCTCTGTGGATACTAAGCAAGTACTCTACCAGCAGAACCACACCCTAGGCCTAGAATCTGAAGATCTCTCTTTTTTAATAATAAAAGTTGGCTGGGCACAGTGATGGCACACATCTTTAGTACCAGCACTCAAGAGGCCGAGGCAGGCAGATCTCTGTGAGTTTGAGGCCGGCCTGGTGTATACAGTGAGAACCTGTCTTTAAAAGCAAAACAAAATAATAAAAATAAAAAAAAAAAAACCAATTTTATGGTTTGCAGGGCAGTGGTGGGGCACGCCTTTAATCCCAGCACTTGGGAGGCAGAGGCAGGTGGATCTCTGTGAGTTCGAGACCAGCCTGGTCTATAGAGCAAGTTCCAGGCAGGCTCTAAAGCTACAGAGAAATCCTGTCTTGAAAAAACAAAAGCAATTGATTATATAAACATTAACCCTTTTGTTTTCTGCTCAGCCTGAAACTGGAAACCATAGCATCCCCCACCCTCACCCTAGGCTGCGTGGTGGGGGGGAGCAGAGAATGCCCGAGGGAGGAGTGCTGTGAAATGATGTTGTCTTGATATGACGTGGCTGTTGCATGCACGACCGTGAAGCAGCCGCCCGTTACTTGAGTGAGATCTGCACAAGACTGGGTCTGTCGGCATCCCATCGTGCTGGCAGCCCGAGGCTGTGAAGGCCCACTAACCTGGAAGTTTAAAGCGTACAGGACATACTAGGGATTGCTTGTGGGTACACACTACTATAAGTATAAAAACATGTATGCAAATGATAAGTGCCTGGGTTCCAGGTTTTGGTGACCTAGAAGGGGAAGGCTGGTGGGGGGGAGGGGATTTGGTGACGGGGAGTGTAGGTGGCACACACACTCCTTGTGTCCTGTTATGTGTAATGTTTTGTAATTACCATGGCGCCGTGGTATGGGCAGGGAATGACAGAGGGGTTGGTTAGCATGATAGATATTGTAAATTCTTAGATAAAGTTGTTTATTCTCTGTCTTTCTGTGTGTCTCTCTCTGTCTCTGTCTCTCTGTGTGTATCTCTCTGTCTCTGTCTCTGTGTGTGTGTGTGTGTGTGCGTGTGCGTGCGCGCGCGCGTGACCTCATGGACCCCAAGCAGGTTTGACCTTTTCTGATCAGTGCCCTTCACCTCCCACGTATTGGAATTGTAGGCAGGCCTGGCTAGTCAAAGCTGTTTTTAAGCTAATTGGTTTCTGGCTAGGAAGTTTTTAGAGTTGTAGGCTTTGGTCTTCATTTCTCACATGATTGGCCATTCTTCCTGTGTCCTCTGGGTCATCTATTGGCCATAATGTGCTCTTTTGGCCTGTGACAAGTCCACCTGTAATGAGTTACCTCAGCCCAGAGAGCTGTCTCAGATGGTGTGTCCCTCTGTGGCCTGGATCTGGCCGGTTCTACTTTCCAAAGTCCCTGTCCAGCACAGCAGGGCCAGCTCATTCTGTCTCTTTCTTTCCCTCAGGACAGTGGGCCTCAGAGCAGTAAGGCAACAGAATGCCCCCCGGGGTGGACTGCCCCATGGAGTTCTGGACCAAGGAGGAGAGCCAGAGCGTGGCTGTTGACTTCTTGCTGCCCACGGGGGTCTACCTGAACTTCCCGGTGTCCCGAAATGCCAACCTCAGCACCATCAAGCAGGTACAGCCTCCACCTTAAGGCCAGCTCTCAGAATCCCTGGGTGTAAATGTAAACTGTGTGTGTGTGTGTGTGTGTGTGTGTGTGTGTGTGTGTGTGAGCCAGGGAAGCCTGGGCTATCACTTTTCACATGCTGTACACCATGTTTTCCTTTTTTTTGGGTTTCTAATACAGGGTCTCATTGGAGTAGGCTAGGCCGGCTGGCCAGCAAGTCAAAAGGAGGTACCTTCTTGGCTTCTTCAGTGCTGGAATTACAGAAAAGTACCAGCATGCCCTGCTGCTGTTTTGTTTTAAGATTTACTTATTTTGCTAGGCAGTGGTGGTGCACCCCTTTAATCCCAGCACTCAGGAGTCAGAGGCAAGAATACCTCTGTGAGTTCAAGGCCAGCCTGTTCCACAGAGAAGCCCTGTCTTGAAAAACAAAACAAGACTTAATTATTTTTATTTTATGTGTAGCCACCATGTGTGTGCCTGGTGCCGACCAGGTGCTAGAATAGGGGTTTGGATCCCCTGAAACTGGAGTTACAGATGGTTTTGAACCACCATGTGGTTGTTGGGAACTGAACCCAGGTCCTCTGGGAGAGCAGCCAGTGCTCTCCAGCCCCCACCCCGCCCCCTCACCCCCTTAACTGTGTTTCGGAGGGACGGACTCAGGAGAAGTGGGTGCCATGCGCTTCACTGGCTGAGCTGTCACCCTCAGCCCTTAGATGGGAATTTTACAAGATAAAATTTCTAAGAATTGTTTAAAAACCTGTGGTTAAACTCCACTTATCATTCCAAAGCCAGCTTCCCCTTTGACAGTAAGCATTTTCCTTCACTAGATTACTTACTAGATTGCGAGCCAGTGTCAAGGCTGCCTCTCTCTGGCTGGTCTCTCATCCTACCCATGATGTAGTGGTCATTTTTGGAACTACCCTATCTGCAGTGCTTAAGGGCCTTGTGGCCTATTCCTAATTAGAGCCGTCAGCACCGCAGTGAGCACCATTGTTAAAAAGGGGTTTGGGTGTTAATGAATCATTTTCAGGGTGATTTGCTGAATCAAAGCATGGCACACACCTGAACTGCATTTGGTAGATGCTGTCTGTGACTTTGAAAGGGTTTGTGGAACCCACTAAGTGTGGCATTTACTGGGTTAGGGTTTGAGCTACCAAAGGCTGAGACTTTACTTCAGAATTTTTATTTATTATTATTATTATTATTAGACAGGGTTTCTGTGTGTAGCCCTGGCTGTCCTGGAGCTCTCTCTGTAGACCAGGCTGGTCTTGAACTTACAGTTTGCCTGCCTCTGCATCCTGAGTGTTGGGATTGAAAGTGCATGCCACCACACCCAGAATTTTAAAAGCCATAAATGGAAAGCAGGAAAGCCAGCTATAGAAGTAAGAATTATCTCTGTGGTCCCCCTGCTTTCCTGAGCAATTTCCTTTAATATTGATTTTCCCCCACTATGAAAACAATATAGACACATTAAAATTTAGAAAAATAAGAAAAAGGACACTGTGGGTATAGCTCAGTTAGTTAGGGAGCTAAAATGCATGCTGTCCTGGGTTCAATTCCCCGCACATCATAGACCAGGTGTGTTCATACACATCTGTAATCCCAGCATTAGGAAACTGGTAGTTTTGAAATTCTGGACCATCCTCAGCCAGACAGTGAGTTCAAGAACATTCTGGCCTCCTGTCTCAAAAAAGGAAGGGCAGGCTGGTGGGACGGCTCCACTAAATTGTCCCCTGACCTCCACAAATGCAGTAGATGTGTCCTCCTCTAACACAGTAAACAAATGAACAAATAAGTGATACTGAAAATAGAGAAAGAAGAAAAAGCTACCGTGATTGAGCCATATGGTCAGCATCTGGACTAGTTCCTGCTTTTGTTTTTTAATTACAAATTTTAGATTTGCTTGTTTATGTATGTAACTTGCACATATGTGTGTGCCATGGTATGCATTTGGAGATCAGAGGATAGCTTGCAGGAATCTAGCATCATCTTCTATCATGTGTGTTCTGGGGATCAAGCTTGGGTTGTCAGGCTTGGTGACAAAGTGTGTCTACCTGACAAATGTTCTTAACCTCGGAGCCATCCCTCCAGCCCCTTCTCTCTCTCTCTCTCTCTCTCTCTTTTATTTTCTGAATGGACATTGTAACACCTTGATGTTGGCTACAAACCTGATATAAATACACTCCAGCTTGGCAGTTCAGGCCTGTGGTTCCAGCACTTAGAAGCAGAGGGAGAGGGATGATTAGCAGCCAGGTCTACAAAGTGAGTGACCATAGTGATATCCATAGCGATTGTCTGGGGCTGTGCCAAAGCCACACCTGGTTGTTCCTCTGGGCGGTCAGAGATCATCCATGAACTCCATGGAGGAGATGTAGGACCCAGTGCCCTGCCCCCAGTCTCAGCAAACCCTGACACCCTGCGCAGAGAGCAGACACAGTCCTCAGGGTGTGAGCTCTTGCCTTCTTGGGGTCTCCCTGTGTCTCCGGAGGTGTCTTGGAGGGGCTCACCATGACCCTCTCTCCCAGGTGCTGTGGTATCATGCACAGTATGAGCCTCTCTTCCACATGCTCAGTGACCCTGAGGCTTATGTGTTCACCTGTGTGAACCAGACAGCCGAGCAGCAGGAGTTGGAGGATGAGCAGAGGAGGCTGTGTGACATCCAGCCCTTCCTGCCTGTGCTGCGCCTGGTGGCCCGAGAGGGTGACCGCGTAAAGAAGCTTATCAACTCCCAGATCAGCCTTCTCATTGGCAAAGGTACATGCTTTGGGCAGGGAGATGCTGGGGCTGACCCCACGTGATCTGGCATTGCGATGGTGCTCACCTCCTCCCCACCCCCACCCCGCATCCCCAAAGGTCTCCATGAGTTTGATTCCCTGCGGGACCCAGAAGTGAATGACTTCCGCACCAAGATGCGCCAGTTCTGTGAGGAGGTTGCTGCTCACCGCCAGCAGCTGGGCTGGGAGGACTGGCTGCAGTACAGCTTCCCCCTGCAGCTGGAACCCTCGGCACGGAGTTGGCGGGCTGGCGTACTCCGTGTCACCAACCGAGCCCTGCTGGTGAATGTGAAGTTCGAGGGCAGTGAGGTGAGCCGTGCGTGTGTGGCTTCAGAACCCTAGGTCTGGGTGCTTCGTCCAGCCTGCCACGCCCCTGGGGGACCTTCTCCTGTGAAAGTCCTCTGTCCTTCTCCCCATAGCAGAAGGTGGCATTTGCCAGGACTCCATGAATACCAAAGGGCTTAGCTGGTTGTCTCACCAGACAAATTTGGAGTTATTTTACATGTATGAATGTTTTGTCTCATGTATGTAAGTGTACAGCATTCATGTCTGGTGACCACAGAGGTCAGAACTCTCTAGAACTGGAGTTAGAGATGGTTGCGAGCTGCCATGTGGGTGCTGGGAACCGAACCCAGGTTCTCTGTGAGAGCAGCAAGTACTCAGCAAGCACTGTCCCTCACCAGGCAGATTTGACCATGCAGAGTGACCGGATGGTGTCAGCCGATCTCCCGGCCACCACCCAGTTCACCCTGATCGGTGAACACCTAGACGCGCTTTAGAGATGGGGCGCTCTCACAAGCAGCCCTGCCTCTGTGCCCCAGAACCACAGGGACTACAGAGCAGAAGGCTGACCCCCTTCTTCCTACAGGAGAGCTTCACCTTCCAGGTATCCACCAACGACATGCCCCTGGCACTGATGGCCTGCGCCCTCCGAAAGAAGGCCACGGTGTTCCGGCAGCCTCTGGTGGAGCAGCCCGAGGACTACGCACTTCAGGTGAATGGGAGGCATGAGTACCTTTATGGCAACTACCCGCTCTGCCAGTTTCAGGTGAGTCCTGTGTGCAGCGTCACCTGCACGTGGCCCGGGGTGTGTGTGTGTGTGTGTGTGTGAGGGGGGCGGGGGACGGACACCGGGGAACTAGAGTTAGCCTCTCTGACCACACTGACAAAGCAGCCTTTGTAGTCACCATGAGAGCATCCCCTTGCTGAACTGGTCCTCTGTGAGCACGAGGAGGGACCCCCATCTTTAGGGGGAACTAATGGAGGCCCCCTCCTGAGGTTTGGGATAGGTATTACCAGCTTGGGGAGTTCCTGGCAGCCAGTAATCTGGGACCCTCCCCCTGCACCCCCATCCCAGTACATCTGCAGCTGCCTGCACAGCGGACTGACGCCCCACCTGACCATGGTCCATTCCTCCTCCATCCTTGCCATGCGGGATGAGCAGAGCAACCCTGCCCCCCAAGTCCAGAAACCACGCACCAAACCTCCCCCAATCCCTGCTAAGAAGGTGAGACAATGTACTTCCTTCCCTGTGTCCCCCCCCCCCCCGGGTCAGCTGGGAGGCACAGCAGGGGGGGCCTGGGTTCAGGGGCCCTTGGTGAGTGATGGGTGTCCTTTTGGGATTTGTGTGAACTGCAGGAGGATCGGGGGCCCTTGTGCATGTGCACAACAGGTCTCCTAGTAAGTCAGTGTTGGGGACAGGTGTCTGAGATTGCCACCAACCCTGCCTCCCTACTTCCCCAGCCATCCTCTGTGTCCCTGTGGTCTCTAGAGCAGCCATTCTGCATCGAGCTAATCGAGGGCAGCAAGGTGAATGCGGATGAGCGGATGAAGGTAGGGGCTCCCGGCCAGGTGATGGAGCCACTGTTTGCTATACAAACAAGGTGGTTGTGGCCAGGACGGGTGGCAGCGGAAGAAGAGTGGGAAGATGTCACACGAAAGCCACCTGACCACATTACCCAGCATCCCTGACTGGAGTGGTTGTAAGCTGCTTCAAAACAGGAAGAGGGGAGTGGGGTGGGCCAGGCAGCCAGAGACTGATTCGTGGAAATCAGGCAGAGCCGATTTCTGTGTATTTGACTTTGGTGGAGGTTGGGGGTGGGGGGTAAAAAGAGGTGTCTGGGGAGGTGTGAGGAGCGAGGAAGAGCTGGCTGCATCTGGTCAGGGACGCCTGCAGCATGGATGGGTAGCTGCCTCGTCCCCTGGGGCCTGAGCTCCCTTAGGGTTGTAAAGATAGTGTAGGGGCTCTGTGCTCGTTGGCTTTTAAAAAACGCGTTCACAAGGCTCACATCCCCTTTTCTCACTGCCTTCCAGGTGGAGGCATTGTTGTTCCATTTGTGGAACAGGAAGCCCACAGAGAGGCTGGGATTCCTTCTTAGTGTCATAGTCTTACAAGCTTGGAGGGCTGGCTACCTGTGTCTGGGATGACCAACTGGCGGTGCTCCTGGATTGGAGCCCCTAAGATGCAAAAAGGCAGGCAGGCAGCTCAGGATGACAGAGCCAGCGAGCCGCTGAATTACCAAGCTGGGGCCTGGAGTGGGACAGGACGTGCCTTGAGTTCTTAGTGCACAGCTACGTGGCCTCTCTTGCCCCGTGACTACTTGTCCTTGGCCAGTGGCTTTCCCTCTGAGGAACAACACCCCCCCTCCTGCCCATGAGGAAGTAGATCCAGACCTACTTAAGGACGAGGACATTTGAGGAGAACATTGGCGGGAGGAGCTGTTGAGGGATGGGGTGGTCCAGGGCTCCTGCTCCCCTTACTCTGTGTCTGGCACCCCACCCACAGCTGGTTGTACAGGCCGGGCTCTTCCATGGCAATGAGATGCTATGCAAGACCGTGTCCAGCTCAGAGGTCAGCGTGTGCTCAGAGCCCGTGTGGAAACAGCGGCTGGAGTTCGACATCAACATCTGTGACCTGCCGCGCATGGCTCGGCTCTGCTTCGCGCTCTATGCGGTCGTGGAGAAGGCTAAGAAGGCACGTTCTACAAAGAAGAAGTCCAAGAAGGCGGTAGGTAGCTCTGGCTGGGAAGAACCCAGGCCTCCCTGCAGTGCCCCACGGGCAGGCAGGCTGAGGACAGGGGTCCTGGCGGCCCTGAAACCCTGAGCCTCTCCACCACCATAGTCTGGATCCCTAACCACTGTAGGGATGCATAGCTTGCCAACAGCCTGCTTGGGACTATCTGTTCTGGGCTTGTAGTCCCTTGGGCTTTTGCAAGCAGCTCCCTGGGTAAAGTGTCCTCAGAGGGACTAAAGGGCCTGGGGCAGCTGTGGCCTTGAGTGGCTGGGTCCCCAGTCACACTTCTACAATGTCAGCTGGCCCTTGCCCTGCTGGTGCATGCTGGGAGCTGAGCTAAGTGCTGGGATCCAGCTCCCGTTTCTCTGGCAGCCAGGAGCAGGGATACTGGCCTTGCTGGATTTGCCAGTAGGACAAGGCAGTTGGTTCTTCCTCTTCTCAAACAGGGTTTTCCTTAAGTCTTCTGGGAGTCCTCCCTTGGAGCCCAGATCCCTTTCCCCACTGGGCCTTCAGGTTTTTCTACTCTGAGGTCAGCAAAAGGGGCTTTCATGACTGGCTCTAACCCACTGATGTCCTCCCCAGGACTGCCCCATCGCCTGGGCCAACCTCATGCTATTTGACTACAAAGACCAGCTCAAGACTGGGGAACGCCGCCTCTACATGTGGCCCTCTGTCCCAGGTGGGTCCAGCCCTGGGGGAGCAGCCATCAGTGGGGAGGTCCCAAAGCCAGTGACCTCATACATACAACTCCATCTATCCCCGCGTTCAGACGAGAAAGGAGAGCTGTTGAACCCTTCGGGTACAGTGCGCAGTAACCCCAACACGGAGAGCGCTGCAGCCCTGGTCATCTTCCTGCCTGAGGTGGCTCAGCACCCTGTGTACTTCCCTGCTCTGGACAAGGTCAGTGGCAGCCCTGTCCTTCAAGACCAGTGGTTCGCGGCCTTTTAACACCGTGACACTTTAATACAGTTCCTCGTGTTGTGGTGACCCCCAACCATAAAATTATTTTCATTGCTACTTCGTTACTACCGTTACTACGGTTATGAATCATAATGTAAATATCTGTGTTTTCCAACAGTCTGAGGTGATCCCTCCCTACGAAAGGGTTGCAGCCCATGGGTCGAGAAGCATTGTTCTAGACCTCTCTCAGTCAAACAGTAGACCCTGCCATCCTGGGATTTGCCCATTGCTAGGGAATATGTCATTATGCCAATTCAGGGGTTTCCAAGAGCCATTTGGGCCGCCATTGGGTAGTGTCCGATGTGGGAAAGCTGCTCCTGGATTGTCTGGCTGTGCAGTGCACAAGACGGTTTCCATGAGTGAGAATGACAAGTGCTGGGTCTGAGGTGCAGATGTCCTGCTTTGGGGCCCTCCAGGGGGCTGCCCCAAGCCCAGGGTATTGACAGCCAGGCACTTGTTGCAGATCCTGGAGCTGGGGCGTCACGGAGAGCGTGGACGAATCACGGAGGAGGAGGTGAGCTCGGGTCCTGGAAGGGGGGGATCTGGGATCGGAGATGGAGCGGAAGGCCTCACCCTGTGTGCCCTTCAGCAGCTACAGCTGCGGGAGATCCTGGAGCGGCGGGGGTCTGGGGAGCTGTACGAACACGAGAAGGACCTGGTGTGGAAAATGCGACATGAAGTACAGGAGCACTTCCCAGAGGCCCTGGCCCGCCTGCTACTGGTCACCAAGTGGAATAAACATGAGGATGTGGCCCAGGTGAGTAGAGAGGGGAGTCAGGGGAAAGAGCCGGGGGCAGATGGACGGCTGTCACCCACCCCCCACCTGACCACCAAGCTGTCCCAGATGCTCTATTTGCTGTACTCCTGGCCCGAGCTGCCTGTGCTGAGCGCCCTGGAACTGCTAGACTTTAGCTTCCCTGACTGCTACGTATGCTCCTTCGCCATCAAGTCCCTGCGGAAGCTGACGTGAGTCCTAGCTGGGTGCTAGCTCTGCGGACACAGACTCCCTTCTCTTCCAGAAGTGGGTTCTGGGTTGGGAGGAGCCTGGGCTCTGCCTCCTGCCAGCTGTAGACCATCAGCCCTCTTTCTGCGCAGGGATGATGAACTTTTCCAGTACCTTCTGCAGCTGGTGCAGGTGCTCAAATATGAGTCCTACCTGGACTGCGAGTTGACCAAATTCTTGTTGGACCGAGCCCTGGCTAACCGCAAGATTGGCCACTTCCTCTTCTGGCACCTCCGGTAGCTGAATTCACCCCAGCCTGTTCCTTGGAAACCCCATGAGGGCCACAGGGAAGGGAGACCTCAGGCTTATTGACCTCATGTTTCTAGCAAGCCCTGGGTCCCACCCCGGCTGGGGAGGGGATGTGTGGCGAGGTACGGGGCAAGACTCAGCACCGTATTTTTTTCCAGCTCTGAGATGCACGTACCATCAGTGGCCCTGCGTTTTGGCCTCATCATGGAGGCCTACTGCAGAGGCAGCACCCACCACATGAAGGTGCTGATGAAGCAGGTAAGGCTTGGGCCAGGCTCTACTTGTAGGCTTTAGAATGTTGTATCTGTCTGCCCGGTACGCACCGGGGGCATGCGCACCATCAGCCCACCTGAGGCTGGTACCCACTGCTGCCTTTCCACTGTCACCACCAGGGGGAAGCACTGAGCAAGCTCAAGGCGCTGAATGACTTCGTGAAGGTGAGCTCGCAGAAGACCACGAAGCCCCATACCAAGGAGATGATGCATATGTGCATTCGCCAGGAGGCCTACATGGAGGCACTGTCACACCTGCAGTCCCCACTCGACCCCAGCACCCTGCTGGAGGAAGTCTGGTGAGCCCCACGGCCGCCCCGCCCCCTCCCCCGCCCCACCAGGGCTCCTCCCACCCCTCCCGGCCTGCCCTGCGGAGGAGCACCTGGTAACCCCACTCTCTGGCCGGCAGTGTGGAGCAATGCACCTTCATGGACTCTAAGATGAAGCCATTGTGGATCATGTACAGCAGCGAGGAGGCGGGCAGTGCTGGCAGCGTGGGCATCATCTTTAAGAACGGGGACGGTGAGCAGGCGGGCTGGGGAACCCACCGAGGCCTTATCCATCCCTATGCTGTCTCAGGGGTGGCCCTGGAGAAATTAATTGAAAAGTTAGTTACCCTGGGACCTAAGGGCCTACACACCCGGGGATGCAGAACCTACCAGACACTTGTGGTCGCCTTCTCGCTCTGCAGACCTCCGCCAGGACATGCTGACTCTGCAGATGATCCAGCTCATGGACGTCCTGTGGAAGCAGGAGGGCCTGGACCTGAGGTGGGGGCCTGTCCCGAAGGGCACCGAAACTATCCTATCATTACCCTGTCGGTTGGGAAAGGGAGGGGCTGTTCTCGGTACAGGGAGACAACAGAAAGCTAGGAGGGGGCAGGGAAGGCGTTCGAGCAACCACCTTGCTCTCCCTCTGCACCCCCTGGCCTCCTGCTCATCTTAGTATGCAGCCGCCTTTTCCCAGGTCCTCATCATCATGGATGCCAGTGCTGGGGCCTCCCAAGTTCCCCTCCTCAGCAGCCTGAGTTGGCATCCTCTGTGGCTACTTTGAATGTGTCCCCAGGGACAGCCTTCGGTCATTACATTCTGTCGGTTCGCCTCCCCTTCATGTAGGATGACCCCCTATGGCTGCCTCCCAACTGGAGACCGCACAGGCCTCATTGAGGTAGTCCTGCACTCGGACACCATCGCCAACATCCAGCTGAACAAGAGCAACATGGCAGCCACAGCCGCCTTCAACAAGGATGCCCTACTCAACTGGCTCAAGTCCAAGAACCCGGGGTAGGTTTCAGGCCTTCTTCCTGGGAGGTGTGATATGGGAAGGGTCACCTATCAGAGATGAGGTAAGAGGAAGAGCCGTGATGTTCTCTGACAATTTGGCTCAGCTGTGGGGCCAGTCTGAGCCAGTGGCTCTGTGATGCCACTCAAAGCTTAAGGCTTCAGGAAATCCACCATTCTGAGTGGGCTCGAGTGGACTCACCTGGGATACTTTGCATGTGTTACTTGGGACAACTCTAACCACGTGGGACTTTTGTCAAGCCTAGAGGGTCTAAGATGGCTTCTGTCGAATGCCTGGAGCCTTGGTACTGCCTGTGAGCCTTACCTCTCCTCCTGGCCTCTGCACATGTAGTAGTTCAGCCCAGTTTCTCCCCATGGTGCTTACTGGAGGGAAGTGGTGGACGGGTCCAAGGCCAGGGAGGTATCCGAGGCCTAGGCTCTGGAACAGAGTGTATGATGCATTCTGTTGAGTAAAGCAAGCCGAGGGGTTAGACTCGAGAGAGAGAAACAGCCCCTACCTCCAGTAGAAGGAACTGCAGCATTGTGTGGCCATGACCTTCAACCTTGCCCACTCAGGGAAGCTCTGGACCGAGCCATCGAGGAGTTCACCCTCTCCTGTGCCGGGTACTGTGTGGCCACGTATGTGCTGGGCATCGGTGACCGACATAGTGACAACATCATGATCCGAGAGAGTGGGCAGGTAGGGAGGTGTGGGCGGGTGGCTTCCCCACGGACAGCCTAACCTCCAGTCCTGGCCTGCTGGCCCTGCCGGCCCTGTATTCAGTATCCCAGAGGATGCTATGAGCCCTGCCAGCCCTGTATTCACTATCCCAGAGGATGCTATGAGCCCTGCCAGCCCTGTATTCAGTATCCCAGAGGATGCTATGAGCCCTGCCAGCCCTGTATTCAGTATCCCAGAGGATGCTGAGCCCTGCTGGCCCTGTATTCAGTATCCCAGAGGATGCTGAGCCCTGCCAGTGTCCTCTTTGCCTGGCACTCTTGGGAAGCGCAGCTCTGTGTTCTCTGTAGCATCTTTCCCTCCTCCCTGGGTTCCTGGGGCTTGAATCCGGCTCACACCAGGCTAGGGCTCCACTCTTGAGCCCCCCCTCCGACCCCCACCCCTCCTTTCTGGCTTCTCACTCTGTGCCTTCCCTTTAGCTGTTCCACATTGACTTTGGCCACTTTCTGGGGAACTTCAAGACCAAGTTTGGAATCAACCGTGAGCGAGTTCCCTTCATTCTCACCTATGACTTTGTCCACGTGATTCAGCAGGGGAAGACCAATAACAGCGAGAAATTTGAACGGTGAGGGCCCTGCTACTGATTATCTGCCCTGGACAACAGGGACCCCCGGTGAAGGGACAAGGACCAAGGCAGCTGCCTCCCGGCCCCTCCCGTGGGAGGGCAGGGTGAGGTCAGCCTGAGGAGCCAGGAGCTTTCACACAGGGCAAAGTACAATCAGGGCCCCTGGCCTTGAGCTGGGAATGTGGCAGAGGAGATCCAGAGCCTCACCCACCCCCCTCCCTCTCCCACAGGTTCCGTGGCTACTGTGAACGGGCCTACACCATCTTGCGGCGCCACGGGCTGCTCTTCCTCCATCTCTTCGCCCTGATGCGTGCTGCAGGTCTGCCTGAGCTCAGCTGCTCCAAAGACATCCAGTATCTCAAGGCAAGTGCCCTTGTGCGGTCCCATTTGCTGGGATAGACCGTGACTGCAACCAACGTGGGGAGGAAGGGCTCATTTCAGCTTACAGCTGTGGCCCACCGTGATGGGAAGTCAAGAGAGGACACTGAAGCAGAAACCACGGTTTGCCCCACGCGGCTGCCTCAGCCTGCTTTCTTACACACTCTGGGACCACCTGCCCAGGGGGGCACCGTTCACAGCGGGCTAGGCCCTCCCACAGCAGTCTCTGATCAAGGAAACTCCTCACACACTTCACTACAGGCAGTCGGAAGGAGAAAGTTCCTCAGCTGAGGGTCTCGGCCCCTGATGACTCCAATTTGTGACAAGTTGAAAAAAAAAAAAAAAACAAAACAAAACAAAAAAAAAAAAAACAGCCAACAGCTCAAGCCAGGGTTGAGTCCGAACCTGCTGCAGGGCTGCAGGGCTCTCTGCTTCCCAAGGCCTGCCTGGGCAGTCTGGGTCCTAGAACGGCCCCATTGATAGACTTCTTGGTTCTTGGGTCCTGGTGCTGATGGGCGGGGGGGTTTCACGCCACCCTCGTCCTAGCAGGGTAGTCTCGTGGGAAGTGGCCCAGTTCACTGTGCTTAGTTGTGCTGGATTGAGATTCGGTAACATTAGTCAATCCACATGTCCCCCCCACACACACACACACATACACACACACACACACACACACACACACACACTCACACACACACACACGATCTATGTGAGCTAAGGTTTCTTCTACATCGTAGAACAGTGGGCCTTCTTCCCACACTGTTCAAGTGGAGGAGTGAGGAGGTGGCAGGTCACAGCGCTAGGCAGGGCATTCCCCAAAGGCCACCTGGCACTCCAGGGCTTCTGGCTCCTGAATCCGTGGGTGGGGGCTGGATGGGTCATCTGGGCTTGGGGTCTGAGAAAAGAGCTTTCCCTTTGAGGGGACTTAACATCCCATTAGGCATGGGTACAGAGAGAGCGGGGCCCCTCAGGGTCACCCTGTTGTGATTTTTGCCCAGGACTCTCTGGCACTAGGCAAGACGGAGGAAGAGGCGCTCAAACACTTCCGGGTAAAGTTCAACGAAGCCCTACGGGAAAGCTGGAAAACCAAAGTGAACTGGCTGGCACACAATGTGTCCAAGGACAACAGGCAGTGAGAGGCCTCTTCTCTCCTGTTCTCCAGTGGTTCCCTCCTGGCTCTCAACCCTAGAGGGAACCGGTCAGTGCCGGGACCAGGCATGCTCGGTGGTCATCAAAGAGGCCCCAGCACCGAACTGCTCCTCATGGGGACGAACCACACGGTTGCCTCCCGTTTACACTGGTTATTTATTTATGACTCGAAACGTTTAAGGGACAAAACAGCCATAAACAGAACTGTGTTTGTGGAGGGGCGGGGCGCTGTCCTTGAGACACCCCTCACCCCCCACCCGTCAGCACTGTAAGCAGCGCCTTGAGGATTGCACCCCCAGTCTTCCAACCTGCGGATCTTAGCCGGCAAAGACAGTTCCTCCTGGGGCCTTCTCCCCAGGCTCTCCAGCAGGCTGCCTGGGGCAAGTCTGGTGGCAGTCATCTGGTGCCTCCCATCCAGACAGAACACCTCAGTCCCCAACTCACCTCTGCCACCTTTGGGTGGCCCACCTTTGGCGACATCTACCAACCAAGCCTCAGGCAGCTCCCGAGGAAGCCAGAAGCCAGGGCACCCTCTACACTCAGGCACACTTGCTCTGCACTGTTTAAGTGACCTCTTGGATACGGGGACACCCTCACCTTTTATTTTCGGGTAAGAAAATGATAGCCAAACTATGTACGGAACTCTACAGCCGGGGAGAAGGACCCGCCCACCCCCCCATGTCTTGTTATGTGCCAGGCCTCAACACTCAGAAACTGTCGGCTGATTTAGCTCAGTGCTGTCACAAGTCAAGGCAAAGGCAAATCAGAATGGAGTCCTGAGCAGTGAGTGCGGGCCACACCCAAAGGCAGCTTTGTGAAAGGGAAGGGTGATCTCTCCTAGAGCTGTAGTCCCGGCCCACCCCACTCCCCATAGGCAGCTGGGGAGCCAGGTCTCCAGTGAGAGCAAGGGTGAGGGCCCAAGAAACCCAGAGTAGTCAAGGGCTTTTATCCTTGAGAAGGAATGGGTCAGAGTGACTCTAGAAACGCAGGTCTGACCCTCTTCCCGGGCTTCCCAAGCCATGCTGGCACTGGAGCAGGCACCTGGGCTTTTAGAAGCTCAGGATTGATCTGGGAACAGCATGTCCTTACTGTGCCATCCCCAGCACATCTTGATGTATCGATTGCCACCTCAGGACCTGGCTCTCTTGGTAGCATTCTGAGACCTGCAGTGTTGACAGCAGCCCAGACCATGGTTCAAGGGAGCCAGCTGCCCGCTCCCCCATGGTGATGAGCTGAGGGTCCAGCAGCAGACTGAACCTCCTCAGAGTATGTGTTTAGCCCATAGTAGCTGAAGCCCTGTCCGCCCCAGCAATTCTGATAGGAAACGAGTGTGTGTGTGTGTGTGTGCGTGTGCGCACGCATGTGTGCATGTGAAGTTATTTATTGAAACGAGTCTAGGTGCTCTCCAGTGTGGTTGCAGACTGCACACGCTCAGCCTTTGAGTTAGGTGTATGGTCTGTGCACCTGGCTGTAAGAATATTTTCTATTTTTTTAAGTCATTTTGTGTTTGTGTGGGGAAAGTGGATTTCCTTTCGTTGATGAGTGCTGAGACATTTGTGTGACCTTGCCATAACAGGTAAAGACAGGTGAAAAGAAATAAAACCCTTTTTATGTTCTTACATTCTCGGCTCAGAAAGCAGCAGCAGGGGAGGGGTGGCTGGGGACTCTGTGCACGGGTAGAGCCAGGCTTGCCTGGAATGGGTGTGGTGGCTGGCCCCTATAATCCCAGCGCTGGTCAGGCAGAAGCAGGAGGATTGTTTCAAGTTTGAGAGAAGCCTGGTGTAGACAGGAAGTTCCACGCCAGCCTAGCAGACATTGTCTCAACCACCGCCCCCCCCCCAAAAAAAAATAAGTGACAGAATGGACCCACTCAGGCTAGGGTTAGAACCAGAACTTTATTATAGTGCTTACACTTCCTGACCTAGAGTCGATATACACATTTTAAGGGGACAGACACTGCCGCTACCGACGCATGAAAACATCCCTCTCTGCATTAATTAGTCTCTTTCCATCATCTAATAAAACAGCTACAGAGACAGGACAGGGGAGGGCGGCCACAGACAGCACAGCCATCAGCATCCTTAAAACTAGCAGCGAGGGCCAGAAATTCCCCGCTGGAGAGGTCTCAACTGTGATTGTAAATGACAAGTCTTCTACCTAGCAACCAAGCAGCAAGACTCCTAGCTACTGGGGCTTGCATCTTACTCCACACCCTGACAGCAAGGGGGCATCCCATGGGGCCTCTGGGAAGGAGAGAAAACAGACTGTTTTGGAACATTCTAGCACTTTGTCTTGGGGCCTCAGGTTCTCCTTTTGGAGGCTGTAGTGTAGACTTGCTCAGGCCTGTTGTCTTCAAATCCAGTTCCCATGAGCTACACGTTTTCACCAACAGGGAAGGAGTCACAGTAAAGAAGCAGAAACCACAAGGCCGCCCAGCGAGGTGGCAGCCAGTTACAGGAGTGTATCAGAGAGGCCAAGGGCCCTGGCGCCTCCAATGCGGCCAGGGTGCTCAGGTCTGGTCCCCCCAGCAGCACTGGAAGCCCCTGGCCACACGGCTGTGCAGACCCCAGCAAGGGCCACAGTGACTTGGACCTCTCCAACCTGGTTTCTTGTGAGAAAGGTAGAGGGGAGGAGAGCTCCTCCTGGGCCTGTGTTCACTTTACATTCTGTCCCGGCCTACACTAGCAGAGGACACAGAGAATCCCAACTTATTTACAAAATATTAAAAAGTCAGTTGGTCATCTACATATTGACCCCCGTTCTCCCACTTTATACATGCACTAGTTTGGAAAAAAATAAAAGCTTTCAAAAGTAAAGAAAAATGATTACCGGGTGGGGGTACTTTTTACCCTTTGCCAGCAAGTCCACTGCAGCTTCTGGAGGTTGGAGATGCTGGCACCCTCTCCTGGACTGATGGGGGACTACAGCCACACATGGGGTCCGGGTGGCCAGGGAGGAAGTGCCAGCTCCTAGCAAAACTGCAAGTGTGATGGGCAGGGAGGGCGGAGGGCGGGGCCTACGGTCCCACACACCAAGCACAGGCGATGTTCGGCGCCGGGGGAGGGGTCTGCAGACCTGCTGGCCAAAATGATTTTGTACATCGTGGACCCGTGGGGCTGGGAGACAGCTGGGAGAGAGTTCTGGAGAGCAGGTGTCAGGCGGGTGTTTAGTAGCTGAGCGTGGAGTCGTCCCATTCCAGCTGCTGCTGTCGGGTGGCGTTCTGGCCGTCCCCGGGGCCACCTTCCTCCTCCTCGCTGCTCTCTGACTCAGCACTGGTGATGTCCTCCTCCTCCCCATCTTCACTCTCCTCTTCCTCCTCCTCTTCCTCCTCCTCCTCACTGCTGTGCTGGTCCTCATATGTCTGGGGAAGAGAAGATGGTGTGAATCTTGCCGGTGGCGCCATCACCTAATGTCCATCTTCTAAAAGCCACAGAGGAAGAAACAACTCTACAGTGACCGAAGAGCTGAGCAACCCTGGAGCTGCCTCATGCAGTGTCAGGGCAGCTCGAGATCCATGCATGCATAGGGCTGGGGTGCTCCATGCCGAGGGATGGAGCTTCGTCCTGTTACACCAGAACCATCTCGGGGTAAAGATGCGGAGAGCGCCAGTTGCCAACTTATGCTAATCAGTGTGACCTTCAGCAAGGTCTCCGAGCCTGGGTGTCTTCAACTGAAGATGACACCCCTAGTGTCACAGACCGGATGAGCAGAGTAGATAACACAGGGACAGACGCAAGGGGCCAGTGCTCCACAGGTCTCAATGGGGGCGGCTCTGCACCTACCTCCATGGGGTTTACAGTGATGGTCAAGGCAGAGTCATCCCAGTCCATCTCATTCTCCTTCCCCGTGTCCTGGTCCCGCATGGTTCGCTGGTGTGCAGCTCGGATTCGAAACACGCCCAGGATGATCATGAAAACCAGGAAGCTAACACACACCACAATCACGACAGTTGCCGTGCTGGGGACAACTGTGGAGAGATTTGAAGACCGGACTCTGCTTTTGTGACACCGCCTACCCAGACGGCCACCCCACCCTTGGCTTCCTAGAGGTCAGAATGAGCATGTCGGAGCGCTTCAGCTGACCCCCAAAGACCAGGGGGAGACACTGCAGCAGCCGACCTTTGCTCATCTGCCAGGAACTCTGGCTGTGGTGAGTTTCTGTCTGGATGCGACAGCACGGGCTTAGCTGACAGGCAGTGGTTGCGAGCTATGCGTACAGCCAGGTTTGGGGGGGGGGTACCCATCTGGACCCTACCTAGAGACCATAGCGTTCCGACCCACGTACTTCCCAATAGTCCCTACCTGCAAATGGGTGAGGGTTGGCTAGGTTGTGACCAGACAGGTCGACAAAGGAGCGATGCTCAGGCTGGACAAACTGTGGTTGGGCAGCCATGTGGTTGGCGTGCTCCACAGGGTTGGCTGTGTGGATCACATTCACCTGCAGTGGACGGAAAGAAAACAGTAAGGCTGGCATCCCAAGTGTACCTCACAGGCGAATGTGGAGCCAGTCCCTGGCGAAGCCACGCTGCTCCCGGTGACCAGAAAACAAAAACAAAAACAAATGTAAGAACCGTCGAGTGGTGTCACAGAGCGACATTGTCACGCATCGCAGAAACAGTCTTGTCTAATGATTTATTTATAGTGAAGCTTATAAAACAACACATTTACGTCAGCGGAGAAAACAAAGCCGGGTCTCTTGGGAAGTGCTCGGCATGGACCACTTTCCCGATCTGGGCACGGGAGAGACGGCACAAACCACATCTGTCGTTCTTCACTCCAGCCTCTTGTCAGTTTCCTAAACTTAGCCTTGGCCCGCCACTTAGGTCATGGCAGAGGCAGTGGGCTCCTCGGGACAACTGAGTGGTTTCTCCAAACCACAGAGGTCCTGGTCGATAAAGTGGGCTGCAGCAGAGGCTGCTGGAGCTTTCAGAACGGAGTATGCTTTCCTCCAGCTGCTGTGACCTCAGAGTGGCCATGGCCGTGTTGGTTGGGCCAGTGATCCGACACAGCTTCCTTCACATATGGGACCCAAGGAACAACCGTGTCCTTCCTAAAGACATACACTGGCCCTCTACCGCTCTCCAAGGTCTCCAGGCCCGCACGTCTACCCTGCGGGCGGGTCACAGTGTGAACGGAGCCACCCCTGGTCTGAGCCTACATAGTTGCCACCATAAATGTCTGAAACCTTGGGACCAAGAATCAGGATACTGGATTACTTCTACTGTTGGCCCTGTTGGGTGGGGGCCTGGGACTCACCTCCACCTTGAATTCATTGCTGAGGTAGCGACCATTTAGTTCTGAACAAATGAGCTTGAACTTCCGGTCAAGCAGGGACCTGGTGTGCCAATTCCGATATCGCAGGAGGTGCAAAACATCCTCATAGCTTGCCATGGTGTCCACACCTGCAGGGTTTTGAAGGTGAGTGCCCTAAGTGGGTCCAGGTAGCTAAAGTCACACACGTGGGTCGGCTGAGCCAATGGCCACAACTCGGTGGCTTTCTGAGGCAAGCCGGAGCATGTCTGCAGCCAGGGGCATGTGCTGTTATGTGTCCAGCCCACTCTGAATAAAGCATGGCCTATGTCCCCCTCCCCAGCCATATCTCTCTCTCTCTCACACACACACACACACACACATACACACACGTGTGAAGCCAATGTGTCACTCCACATCTGCAGGCCAGAGTCTCACCTTCCCTTCTTACCCTCTGCTCAGCCCCAGCCCCTCACCTGTGAAGACCACACCCAGGTCGGAGCGGCTCACTTCGATGCCCTTCTGCTGCAGGCGGGTCATATCGACCTCCAGGCTCTCCTGCTCTGGGTTCAGCTCCTCCCCTTCTACTGTGACCTCACAGGTGTCCAGATCATGCACAATTTCTTCTGATACCAGGGACTCTTGAACTGCAGAAATGGCCGACCGGAAATAGAGGCTATGAGGCGGGCAATGCCAGTCAACCCCAATCCCCAGTCACAGCTCAAGCTCTCAGCCAAGAGTCTGAGGACGGAGTCTGAAGCAAGGAGTCACCGTCCAGACTCGGGGGCTGGGAGTGCACTCAGTGGTGGTGTATACGGCTAGCATACTGAAGGCCCGGCCCCGGGTCCCGGGCTAGAAACAGCCCAGTCAACAAACAGCAAGCACTTAGTGAGTCCCCAGTAAGAATGGTGGGGACACTATGTTTCTGTGGGCCGACCCTCAAGCCACATCTTAAAACCTGACGTCTGACCAAAATGATGTAAAGACTCCATCCACGGCCAAGTTTCAGAAACATTAAAACCCCAGAACCGCACAGAAAAAGGGCCCATGACGGGGCTGGCAGGCCCAAGTACAGCTATTACCTGTGGGGTCCTCTGCCCCGTCCCCCTCAGGCTCCACTTCTCTGGTGATGGTGCTGATGATTCGAAGTTCAGGGAAGAGGGAAACGCCCTCTGGGCTCTCAAACTCAGAAGCTGCCCGGGCAAAGTGGTGGACCCCACTCAGACTGATCTTGGGCTCTTCTGGCTGCAAAACCATCACGTAGCCTTCCACGGGCGGCACCTCGATGCAAGCAGCCTCATTAAAACACCTATTGGAGAGGCAGGAAGGGTGAGGGGAGAAGGCTGAAGGCTTTGAGAGCTGTGAGATAGTC